ACAACAGTAGAACAAGTCAAGATGATAATGAAGAAAAGCCGGTGAATTACCTTTGTCAGCTTATTCAGTCTCCAGATTGGTGTAGGACCAGTGTAGATGTAAATGAGATCTGTGGGAATCATTGCGAATAAATCAAGTTTGAACACCGAACTCATCAAGTAGTGCTTCAACGTCTCATCACGTGCCTTCTGCAATAAGTGGACGGTAGGGCAGTGGAGACAGTAGAGCTGTGGCAGGGTTAGGATCGCTGGTAAAGGTAAAGCAAGAGAATCGTTGCTGCTGGTCTCTGTTGTCTACTCACATATGGTTTAACCCTGTTTTTTTGAAAGAATCGCTCTGCAAGATCCTCCTGTGAGAATTGCTCTGCGGTCTTTCTGACAAGCAGTTAGAAGTGCAGGTCTTCATGAGCAAAAAAAAGGCACGCTCCGTACCCACATCATTGGCAGACAATCCAACCACTGCAGCCATTTCACTTGCTCCTTTAGAGATGGTGAAGAAAAGGGAGGGTGAAGAAGAGCTCATGCGATCAGCATTGCTCACCACTTCAGAAGGAGTGCCCCCGTGGCTGGCTGTGTCCGCCTATACTGTAAGATTGCGTCCAATTCTCGCGATGATGCGCCAGCATTGCAACCAGGGCATGATGTGCCGCTAAGGGGAAAATTACAAACTACGACCCCCTCACTCCCTCAAAGTTCACTGCTTTGATAGGACCCCCTCCCCATCTGACGCACCGTCCTCCTCAATCTCCTAGGTTCCTCCACTACTTTCTCCGATTTTCGGTTTCCTCTGGAGTCCCTGTATTTCCCCCTAGAAACTGCAATCGAGCGGGAAGGGACAGTGGCGTGTGGGGATAGCGGATGTAAAGCGCACGCGGAACAGGCATTTCTCTGAAGTAAATACGACCCCCCTCTCTCTGAAACGACCTCTGCAATGCTCTGGTAGCGCACGAGGCTTTAGACGGTTTCGATCGTCGTCCCCGGTGATTTGGGGAGTGTAGGAGAATAGGAGGGTAGCATACAGCATGATTAGACATCATAACATATAATGGCCTGCATAGTGATCGCAAGTCAGGAATGTTGCTATTTTATAGCGCCTTCACACAATCTGACACACTCCTATTCTCCTACACTCTTTCGAAACGCCAGCGGCCGGCGCTCATAGTTTAGCTGCATTGCTGCCCTAAATATGGAGAGCTACCTCAACGATAGTCTGACGGCACGCGTCATCGCGAAGTCTGAACGCAGCCTAGGCCTTCGATTATATAATAACCAGTCGCCTCGCCGGCTGACGCCGGCGCGGCTCCTTCTGATACGGCCCGGCTGCGCCGGGCGGGCGCGGCTTCGCCGCGCGTACCTTCTCTCACATATTTCTAGACTAACCGCCTTTTGTTCTGTACTCCACTTTTCTCCGGTGTCTGAAGTACTCTTGAGCTGTTTTACAAATTCTTCGTCTGACTCCGCCCACCTCAGAGCAGACCCGCCCTCAATTTTTGTGCCCCGCACTCTTCACAGGCGACCCCCTGCTGACCTTAATCCACTTTTTTCCGGTGTCTGATGTGTTCTGGAACCGTTCTGCAGAGTTTTTGTCTGGCTCCGCCCACCTCGAAACAGGCTCCGCCCCAATTTTTGTGCCCCACAATCCTCATTGGCGACCCTCTGCTGACCTTGATCCACTTTTTTCCGGTCTTCGGAGTGCTCTGGGAGAGTTTTGGAGAATTTTTGTCTGGCTCCGCCCACTCGGGCTGGCCCCGCCCACAATATGTATACCCCACATTTCTCAATCGGCGACCCCTTGCTGACCTGAATTCACTTTATTCCGGTCTTCGGAGTGCTCTGGAACCGTTTTACAGACCTTTTGTCTGGCTCCGCCCACCTCGGAGCAGGCTCCGCCCACAATGTTTTTGCCCCACGGTCCTCACCTTCGACCCTCTGCTGACCTTAATCCACTTTTTTCCGGTCTTCGGAGTGCTCTGGGAGAGTTTTGGAGAATTTTTGTCTGGCTCCGCCCACTCGGGCTGGCCCCGCCCCCAATTTTCGTGCCCCACAATCCTCACCGGCGACCCTCTGCTGACCTTAATTCACTTTTTTTTCCGGTCTTCGGAGTGCTCTGGAACCGTTTTACAGACCTTTTTGTCTGGCTCCGCCCACCTCGGAGCAGGCTCCGCCCACAATGTTTTTGCCCCACAGTCCTCACCGGCGAACCTTTGCCGACCTTGACGCACGTTTTTCCGGTCTTTGCAGTGCTCTGGAACCGAGCTACAAACTTTTAAAGTGAGTATCCTGCGGTTTAGGGCAAGCTCCGCCCACTGTGGGCGGATCTCAACACATTTTGAGCATGCCCAATACTCGCCAGATATTTACATTCTGCACTGAGCTTTTTGCGGCTTCTGAACACTCTCGCGAACCGAGTTACTGAGTTTTATGCGAAGCACCGCCCACCTTGAGTACGCCCCGCCCATTTTGGATGTGTCTGCCACAGTTAGTCTGGCGACTCCTTACTAACCTTATTCCCTTTTTTCACCATCTTAGGCTGCTCCGGAAGCGAATTATGAACATTTTTCTGTGAAACCCCAAAATTTCAGCGAGTGCCCCGCCCACTGTGGGCGGGGCTTCGCATAGGTCAAGTGTGCTTTTTATTTCTTGTCCCATGCTCTACCCATCCCCACCTTGACCCGACCTCTCCAAGTCGTTCTTCAGGTCGAACCGAATTTCCGGACAGACAAACAAACTTACAAACAAACTTACAAACTTACAAACAAACTTACAAACAAACTTACAAACAAACTTACAAACAAACTTACAAACAAACAGACGAAGCGAATTATATATATGGGGTGATAATTCCCAGTGACTTACGACTGATATCCCTCCTTTCATGAACCTGAGTCTCGGCTTGATAAGAACCATATCGATGAAATAGATGATATCACAGGTGTAATCCAGTATCAGCCAGTAGAGAAGATTCGATTTAGTTTGGTAGGGATACGAACTTCTGAGCGGAATACAGTATGCATTGTAAAGAAAGGCGCTCGTCACCAAGAACAGCCATGTCATGTAAATTCGGCCTGAAAGTCACATTTGGCCAAAAGCAGATGGGATAAAGGAGATGAAGATTGCTGACCATATGGATGTAGGGTCTCTGGCAGCCGACATTGCCACTTTTCCTCATCCTCTGCATCGTCTTGACCCTCTTTCTGGAAACGAACCCTGTTTTTTGATTTTCTGAGTTTTGCAACAGCGCCAACACGTACTTGCAACCCAATAAGGGACATCAAGCTTGGTTGCTGCTCTTCCGTCGGTACAGACGCTGAGGTGGTGGAGAACGTATCCTCGGGCTCTTCTTTGATCAGACTCTCTCGCACAGCAGATGTCCTTCTTTGTACCTATTATGAGGCTTGTTAGACAATTACTCGTTCACAGCATGACGAGCTCTCTTGACTCAAACGTGTACCTCCCTAGCCATGACGTGCAGCTTTTCTTTCATAATGAACGACAGCTCCGACTTCAGATCGTCGTCCTTTTTGCTTCTGACGGAAGGCGAAGGTTGGAACTCTTCCATCGTATCCAGGTCCTCTGGAAAAATTAGAATAAAGGGTAATATCATTGAGTCATAAGTTTCAATCTTGCTACTCGGCCCACACCGGAGGCACCGACTCATCTGATTACCCGCGCAACTTCTGGAGTTACTGTAACCAGTTGTTTTCCTGAAGTCAAGGGGCGAGCTGGGTGTGGCGTTAGCCCGTCGTTCACTAACTGTTAAAGACAGAACCCAAGATCGCTCACAATTATCTAGACTGTTCATGAGGGAGGTAATGTAGACTGCAACGAACAATCCTGTATAAGTTTCACGTCAGAAAGTGGTAAGGTACCTGCGACAAGGTACAAGGTTGCTCATGTGACTCCGCCCACGTTGATAGATATCCTACCTGCTGCCTTGCTCGTCTGCATGCTCTCTCGCTATTTTCTCTGGCCCGTCGCCCAATATACACATGAATTCCTTATCTCGTTTGGCACAAATAGGGCCTTATTTGGAGTGCTTTAGACGGTTTACTCTCATTTTTTTTTCTTCACCTAGAAAGTCAGTAGCACACACACTTTCGGCTACCAACCCCGCTTGCAACTTCGCTGCCTTACTGTTCGCCGGCTTAAAGGCAGGCGTTGGCGCGACAGCTTCACAAGAGGCTAAAGGTGTCAGCAAAGTGATAACTGTCAGTGGCAGGGGGCACGAAAGAGAGCGTTTGGCCACACCTCACTCAGCCCTTCTACCAATGACTTTGGTAGTAAGCGCCTATCTCCAGCCATCGTGCCCACTGCCTTTAACAAGAACTAACTAAAGGTATGAGCGAGAGTGCGAAATGTCCCCCCCCCCACTCTCCTAGGCCGGACAGTGCCAAACACAGTGCAAATGCTGACATACTTAAAGGCAGTTGGCACGATGGTTTCCTACTCGCCTAAAATGCTAGTAGGGCGCTATATAGTGGGGAAATGGCGAAAGAACGGAGTGAAACGGTCAAAATCCTGCGAAGAAAAGCCTCCGTTCTCAGTGACTTGTAAATCGATTTCGGACGAGTTTCCCGTAGGCATCTTACCAATCACCGCTACCGAAGATACGGCTGCATATGTGTACCCATATATGCATGCAGCATCACGGCCGCTTCATACCAATCCCTTCGCTTCATAATTTGCTTAGCAAATGAATGAATACGAGCGTCAGGAACGGTCGTCCATTTGTGGGCGGGCGGGCGTGGCGGGCGTTTGGGACGTAAAGTTGTGGCTTGATAGGGCCCTTATAAGGGCACCTTCCTCGGGGAAACCGCTATGCAGCGCCTGCCCAGGGTCGCGGAATTCTATCCTGCCAGGAGTATTGATCCTAGTCGCCTTGGGGGATTTATCGTGCCAACTGCCTTTAATGCGAATGTACCCTTGCAGCGCGCCAACCCCAGCCCTATGACGCGCCTCAGCGTCTGCAGTGAAGACGGCTGCACACCAGCCTTGAAGAAGGTGCCAATGCAAATCGCTTACCTATCTTAAATCCTTCTTCATCCTCGACTTGAATTGCAACTGTCGCAGGTGCAAATTGAACAGGAGCAGATGGCTGTATCGGACTAAACGATGGGGTTTTACAATGCACGCTGCTGAGAAAAGGTCTGGCTCTACCTGTCAATACTCCTTGGACTGTACTCGTCCCCGATGTCATCAAGACGCTGTGGTTGGGATTGCTTCTAGAAAGAGTTAGTGCTGACTAAGACTGTACTCCAGTAAAGCTGCAAGAAGCACTCACATGTCGGTCAAGGACAAGAAATCGTCGATGTCGCACATTATTCGGTACGGAATTTGATGGTGTATCCATCACCTGCAAAAGTACTGTGAAAGGGTACAATCGAAAAAAGCGCGGAAAAAATCGGAGAAGTTCGGCTTGGTGGGGGCACAAAATGGTAGTTACAGTATGCTTGCACAGGGCAGTTTGTGAAAGCACGTAAAGTCGTGTAACTAAACGCGTTTATCATTTCGCAGCTTTCCAAGAGTTTACAGGTTTCGCAAAAGGAGACGGTGTTAACGGTTTACATATCAGTAAAAAGAACTGGCGAAAGTGCTAAGCACATCCCCCCCCCGCCCTGAGCCGAACAGCGCCAGAAATACAAACAAATTTTATCTATTGGCTTTTGTAAAGGACGGGAACAGGAGTCAGGGAAATCGGGGGCGGGGTCACTTTTACCGCTCGCTCTACATGTGCACCGCTTGCGGTGGGGGTTCTGAGCCGAGCTACCTTGGGCGCTCAGGATCGTTCCACTCCGTTGAATTCTAAACCACTCTTCAAGGTAAGTTATTCAATCAAACAAAGTTCTAAACATACAACGCGGAAGTCTTGAAATTTTTACGAGTTCTCAAAGAACCCAGAGCATGAGGTAGCTGAGAACATCATGGAACAGCTGGGGCCTGAATCCTTGTAAATTCCTAATTCATAATGACTGTAGGCCTTCATAGGACCCTAAAATCCCCGAGGCCTGGCGGACACTCATGGACGCTAGATGCACTGAGCGAAGAAAGCTCTGGAAATGGTGGGACTCAATTTCATGCTCAAATCGATAGGAGGGATGAGACAAGGAGAGCTATCTCTCGCTTATCAGGATGAGTCGCCACTAGCAACCGTTGCAGCGAGGGACCTGAACGAATCCAGCAGCGAATGTTTCAAAGGCCAATTGGGGGAGCGTTGAGGATGAAAGATGTCAAAGACTTCTGGGATGAATTTCATTAAATGGCCGGTTCCTGTCATATTCTCACTGGTTTTCCGATTGATGGCTCTTCATGTATTTCTTTATCGACCGCTGCAACTCAGTAAGAGGCCCAAGGGGTTGACCCTCACATTGATTCGTCTGAGAATCAGGCAAAAGGACCATTTCTATTTTTAATCTGTTCGTAACTATTCGTCCGCATCATTAGGCATAGCAGTTGATCTCTGCAGTGGATGTCATCAACATTGGGA